TTATCACTTCACCATATTTTTATAAATTATTCTACATTACTAGGAGTTCTGCACGTAACCCAGCCAAACAGCTACGTTCTGTTCTGCTTATAAAAGTTACATTCGTTTGCGTGCAGGCATTGCCCAAGGGACATACATGGTCTATAGGTTGTTCTGAAATGTTAACACTTAAAATAAATGGATCTTTATATTGACTGCGTTGCCTACATATCAGATCTAATTACTAACACATGTTACTGTTTTTCGAAAGAAATGTTGAACCATGTCTGGGTCTGTATTGACTGAAATTTTCAAGCTAAGTTGCATCAGGATGTTATCCTTAGGACACAAATAGGGGAAATAGTCTCTAAGCCCCGTGGCGATGCGGGATGTCACGGGACCGCAGAAGGGCGGGGTGGCTGCTCGCAATCCTGGGAGCAGACTTGGCACGCTCGGTGTCTGGTTACCGGTCGGCCCATTTGGAAGCTGCTGTGGAGCCCATCCTAACTGCAGAGAATGGGTTCACACAAGGAAAATCAGAGCTCGGGTGCCCCAAACAACTATGCAGATGTGTGTTCAGAGGCCGCCGGGGCTGCAGGTCTGGTGGACATGGAGGGACCGTGCACCGTGTGTGAGGCCGCCTCCACCACACAGGTCGGGGCCACGTCAGGAGAGGGTTGGCGTGTCCACCCTGGCCATCCACACCCTCCCTGTTCCTTGCTTCACGTCTTTCCTGGAGGTGAGAGGCGAGAGGCGGGTCCCGGCGTCCCCAGATCTCCAGCTCAGGGGGTCTGGGACACGGACGCACCTGCCCAGCACACAGCCTGCCCGCTCGGCCTGCGACTTCCCCCCTCGTCCCTGGTCTGTGTCTTGTTCTTGGAGGACGTGTTTACTCCATGCAAACCTTCTGTAGCTCAGTATTTATTGAATAACTTCTGTGTCTCTTCCTTACTTACACTATTTTAATTACTTTCCTGATTGCCCATTCTTTAACTTTTTTTATTTATTGCCCATAATTTAACTTTAATGAGTTGTGTCATGGTTTTAACATTATATCTAAGGGACTTGGGATTTTATTGCCATATATTAAGCCATTTATTTTATTAATTCAAAACTTTCACCATTTTATTGGTCGTTTTATTGAAAGTTATCACAGAGAATTATTCTAAATATGAATTGTGTCGAGAAGTCCATATCCGAGTGTTTTTGTGGGCGAGGCACCACCTAATTATCCTTCCACCAAGTGCCTGTTTCTCAGTTTTCAAGACTAAAGTTTCATTTTCCAAAGACAGAGAACTCAAGCCTATTCAGAACTAACTAGAGAACTGGGAGATGATTTCAGTACCAAAACCTGTTTCAGAAGAGAAGGCAGGAAGTAATGAGGCTGAAGATTATTAGGTTGTGTATGTGGACCACGTATTTGTTATGTTCCTGTGAAGTAGATATTTAGTGTGGCAGCAGATCAGAACATCTTATCAGAACAAAGTGATCTGATTGCTGTCAGGCAGACAGACTTGCAGTCATGAGGAATTTATTATCTAGATTGTAGTGTTTTGTTTTTGTTTTTGAGAGGAAGAGTCAGAGAGAGAGAGAGAAAGGGAGAGGGAGCGGAGAGGCTCTCAAGCAGACTCCCCGCTCAGCACGGAGCCCGACATGGAGCTCGATCCCACGAGATCATGACCTGAGCTGAAACCAAGAGTCTGACACTAACTGACTGAGCCACCCAGGCGCCCCCAGATTGTAGGGTTTGAAGCCTGGCGCCCTTTCTATGACATGAAGGTCCCGTGCATCTTTGGATGTTATTTGGGATTAAAATGATAGCTTGGAACTGAAGCGAAGCCCAGGCAGACCTCTTCCCTGTGGCCAGCTGTCGCGGCTGCTTCCCCTTCTTGCTCTCTTTGGAAATTTCTGCTCTAGTATCCAGAACCAATTAAAAAAAAAAAGAGTGAGCAAATCCATTTTTTAAAGTTACAGGGAACTCCTAAAGTCCCTCTGCGCAATATGCAGGCTGGGCTGCGGACGTGCCCCTGTCCCCTCAGTCTCTGGGTGGGGAGGGCAGTCCCGAGAGCCAGGCAACCACATCCTGACAAAACCTGCACCCCACTTTCACTTTGCCGAATGTGTGCAGTTGGCACTGGTCACTGGCCAATACTGTCCTGAATTTGAGGCAAACAACAGACTATGGAAGTAATACGAGGGGCGCCTGGGCTGCTCAGTCGGTGAAGCGTCAGCCTTTGGCTCGGGTCATGATCTCAGGGTCCTGGGATTGAGTCCCGCATCGGGCTCCCTGCTCAGTGGGGAATCTGCTTCTCCCTCTCCCTCTGTCGCTCTCCCTCAAATAAAAAATCTTTAAAAACAAAAGAAAGTAATTTGAAGCACCTCATCTCTTCATATTTTAACAGGCCTGCCACGTGTATGGTTTAGATCAACACTAACTATAAGCTTACTACTTTGTATTTAGCATCTAGAGGACCCTGAGAGCCGAAGGGTAATTATCACATGCATTTGTAGTCTTAGCTTTGCATCTAGAATAAAACTCACATTTCCTTTAAAATACTTAGCTTTTTTTTTAATTCAACATGGTACAGCCATGATAATTGGAACAAGACTATGGCTATTTTTGGTATCTATTTCTACTATAGCAGTTCATCAGAATGTAGGTGCCAAATAGTAGCTGAGAGAACTTTGACAAATTGTGATTATTTTTAAAATTAGCGTGTCTGAAAGGTATGTTTTGGGGGTGGCAGCTTTTCAAAATTAGTGTGCTTCTCAGATTATAAATAGACCACTGGCTCCCTAATATAAATGTTCCCATAGCTCTCATTGTGCATGAGGGTTTGAAGAAGGCAAGATTGCAGGTGTGTAGTGGGCCAGTGAAGGGCGGAACGTTCTGGAGTCAATGGAGGAGTGCATGTTTGGACAAAGTCCCTTTGAGGAGCGGCAACCCAGCTTCTCTTGTGAGATGCAAGGTCAGGGTAGCAGAAGTCACAGAAAATTAGCATTTAAGGTACTTTTCATTGTAGAAGCGCCTTGTTTTCAAAGGGCAGGGAGCTTACAGAATGAAGACAGAGACAGCTGCAGATCTGAGCCCTTTCGGCTGGTCCTTCCCGCCGCCTCCCGGGTCTGAGCCCCGCGTGCGCACTGCGGCCCCAGACTGAGCCGCAGCGACCCCGCATGGGCCAGGCTGTCAGGGAGGGGCTGCTCTTCCCGGCGTGTAGGCTGGAACCTGTAGGCCACCCTGGGGGGCGGTGGGCAGGGCTCGCGCACAGCTCGCACAAATGTGGCCTGCGCCCCTGTGGGGCTGGTGCTAGACCCACGGGATCGCACTCGGGCTGGTGGCCCCGCACTGGACCGGGATCGTGCCTGTGCAGAAGGTGCAGCGAACCAGGCGGCAGGCCCGCAGATCCTTGGCTGCACGCCGCCTTCCCGGCACGCTGACGGCGCAGCCCCTGATAACTCCGTTCTCAATAGGGCTCGGCATTCACCCGCCTCGGCGTCCAGTGTGGACTGCAGACGGCGCCACGCACTGGCGGTGGCCCTCCAGGTGCGAGCCCTTCCTGTTGGCGGGGCTTGAGGACAGCCGTGGAGGCAGCACCACGTCTGTGCCCGGGAGGCGGAGCAGTGGCGTTTGCACGGAGCCCAGGTGCTGGGGCTGGAGGAGCGCGGGTGCAGATGGGGGGCCGCGCCGCACGCAGGCTGTGGCAGCAAGTGGGGTCCGTGCGCCCCAGAACAAGCGGGCCGAGCGTGCGCGGTGCTCCCTGCGTGAGGGCGGCTGCGCGCGGTGTTTCACGGGCCCGGGCAGACCCGGCCCGCCTGAAGTTACGGTGGACTTGTCGGTCAGGCCGCGGTAAACCGGGAACTTGCCATCGGCACACAGGTTTCCTTTCTCTCCACCTGCCTTCCACCTCCGCGTGTCCGTGTGTCCGTCCCTCCAGCCCACCCAGCAGGTGCTCACAGGCTCGCAGTGGAGACAGCCCGCCCTTGTGGGGTTGCTGCCCAGGGACCGTGTGAGGGTCCTGAGACAGAGACGCCGAGACGGACAGAGACAGCGACAGAGACGGAGAGAGACAGAGAGAGGGACATAGAGATGCAGAGACAGAGATGGAGAGAGACAGAGACAGAGACGGGGAGAGACAGAGACAGGGACATAGAGACACAGACGGAGAGAAGGAGAGAGACAGAGGTGGAAAGAAATAGAGACAGAGAGATGGAGAGAGACAGAGACAGAGTGAGACACACAGAGAGAGGGACAGAGAGACATAGAGACAAAGACACAGAGACAGACATAGAGAGGCTGAGAGAGACAAAGACACAGAGAGACTGAGAGAGACACAGACTGAGACAGAGACACAGAGACAGACTGAGAGACAGACGGGGACACAGACACAGAAATAGAGACAGAGGCAGCCCCTTAACTGATGCAGCAACAGCCTCAGAGCCTTCACTGTTGTCCCGTGTTCAACGCTGGGGCTTCAGGGTGAGCACCACAGCCCCTGACGCCGCGTCCACAGCCAACCCATTGCTGCTGACCGCGAGCCCAAGCTCCATCTTCATTTCAAAATGTGACCTCATGCTGGTTCACACGGGCAAGGCGCCACGAGTTATGACTTATTCTCACATCCGAGTAACTCTTAGAAGGCACCAAAGTAAAATTTTAAAAAGGAATTAATGTGTTTTCCCCAAAGCTGCAGGCCTGAAATTTTACTTCCAATAAAATTGCAACAGCTCTTACATCCTGAAATCTCACCATTTGTCACGATTGTAGCAACAGTGAATGTGCGTGTATCCGTCTCCGGGCAGGCCTCTCTGCAAGAGCGCGTCCGCCGCTCATTTAGGTAAGGGCAAGTCCCAGGTTCCTCGATCACATAGTTACTTGAGATAAAGTTGAGAATCACTGAAGTAAATATTTTACATTCCTTTTCTACTGAATCTGCAAGATTCCAGTGGAAAACTTAACCTAATATGTTTGTTATGGTTCCACTGTACAGAAAATGGTTGTATTTGAATTTTTGTTTTTGTAGATGAGGATCTTCATGATCAACCAAAGAGAAGAAGAGCAAGAAAGCATAAATCCAAGAAAAGTTTTAAAAATCCCAATAACGATCATGCAGAACAAGCAGAATTAAAGAAACAGCAGAGTCTTTCACAAGAAAAACTGCAGCTACGGCCCACAGATGGCTCCACAATCAGTAAAAATAAAAAGAGGAAACTGAAGAAGAAGCAGCAGATGAAGAGGAAGAAAGCTGCCGGCTTACTGACCACAGCCTCTGGCCGCAACTTCATGTACCAGCCCGAGGAGGGCGACAGCGAGCAAGAAGCCCTGAGAGAGAGTGATGGGGAGGACACCGCGGACCACGGGGGGGACGCCGCGGACCATGTGGAGGACGCCGCGGACCAGGGGGAGGACGGTGCAGACGCCAATGAGGAAGACATTAAAAGTACCAGTGAAAAGGCAGATGATATCCTAAGCTTTCTGAAGTCAACACAAGAAATTTATTTTTATGATGGTATGTTTTTTACCATTCTTTTGAATAATGGCATCCACTTATTTGGAAAAGTAAGCAAAAATAAAATATTTAAATGTTTAAAATATAAAACACTAAAATATTCAGTAGTCAAAATAAGTCATTAGTTTTGAGGCAAAGATGAGAATATTTAAACTCTGTCCAGCAGGATGCAGAGTGGCTTCTGCTCGAGGATGTGGCTCCTCACGCGGCTGGTCTTTGCATCCTTACTCCTTGAACCCGATTTCAGAGGCTGTTGGTATTCTCAGCTCCATTTCCACGGGGAAGGTCAGTCCAGACTGCAGGTCTGATGAACTCAGGCTCGTTCTCATGAGCTAATTGGGAAGTAAAAGTGTAAGCACAGCCATCCCCTCTAAGACATACTGTATTTTACTTCCCACACATAACTTGCGGATTTAAGATTTTCAGTGAGCATCTTTGAGCAACTCTCTATATTGACACAGGAGATGAAAAAGGGAAGCATATTTATTCTAACGGATGGTAATTGCTTACGTTTGTGTTGAGGTTTACTGACGGCTGACCTCAGGATCAGGAAGGAGCAGGTGCTGGGTTGAGCCACCATGTTCACACCAAGGACAAAGGCGCTCAGGATGAGCCACTGCCCATTCTGACAACATTCCTTGTGGATTCTGGGGCTGGGGTGGGTTTAGTGTATCCCAACATGAGCAAGAATTTGACCTTATGAATAAGACTGAGAAATATTGGCTCTGTGATAATTTGGGCGGTAAGGAAGTGATTTACACAAGGGTGTGAAAATGCCATTGTTAATAGATCAGTTTAACCCTTTCCCCTTTAGCACATCTATCAGCGCTTTGTCTTAACAGAGTGAAAACAAACTTAATAGCCAAATGAGGCTCGTAGGAACACATAGCTAATACGCGGCAGAGCAGAAGGAGCCTCGGAAAGACCTCAGTACAGGATCCATCGCATGTGAGTCTAGGAGGTTCTGCAGAAAAGCGCCCAAGAGGGCAGACCCCAGGGGGGGTGACAGCACATGAGGGCTGAGCCATAACTCCACGGCCTCCTTTCCCCGGGGACGTCTGCCAGCCATGCATGTGGGCGCTGGAGTGGGGTGCAGGGGAGGGCCGGCCGAGCCCTGGGAAGCTCACCCACCAGTGCAGCTTCGGCCGCAGTACAGGCCTGTGGGTCTCTCAGAACCTTTGCCAGATGCCAACCTGTGGGGTGCAAGGTAGGGAGAAGCAAGGAGCTTCAACAACATGGTGGACCTCTCAGCAGTTTTGGGGTGCTGACAAGGTTGACATCCCAGAGGGCCACACACTTGGAGCAGGGGTGGGTGGAGGAGGCTGAGCCCACCCTGTGTCAGCTCAGTCCCTGCAGGGGCGGGTTGGCCCAGACCACCGCCAGTTTCCATACTCATACACTCCAACTTAGCAGGCAAAACCACGAGAAGAACGTACAATGAAGACACTGATGTTATCAGAAGGTGTTGAAAGAGGTATGATTAAGGTGCTCAAAAAAATAGGGTGAAAAATTAGAGAATTTCACCAGATAGCCTCAATCTATTAAGACAGTCAAATGGAAATTTTGAGAAATATAATAACTGAAATTAAGAACTCAATGCTGAGTCTAAGCCGCAGGTCAGGTTCAGCATGAGAGAGATCAGTGGCCGGGAAACAGGCAGGATAGAACCTGCAGACGGGGGCTCGCGGGCGCCGGGGGGACGGGAACGGGTCTGACATGCGTGCACGTGGGGTCCAGGATGGGGCGCTGGGGCCTGTGTGCGGAGGTAATAGTTGCGAGTTCTTCAAAGTCGGGAAAGGCCATCAAGTCATACACTCAAAATGCTGTATGAACTCCAAGCGGGATTAATGCAGAGAACAACAGCACAGCCAAAGCACTTGCCGTTGAGTAGGAACGGGGCCGGGGCACCTGAGGCCGGTCTGCAGAGCTGGGCCATGTCCGTGGCCCTGCCACAACCTGTGACTCCTAGCGGCATTTCTGGAAGGCGTTGCAGGAGATGGAGGCCCAGACAGAGGCAGGCGTCCAGCGGCTTCAGCGAGTCCTAGTTCGTTGCTGACGGTTCACATTCTGCTCCAGGGGCCTCTCCTACACCTCTATCCCAAACAGCTCATTCTGAGTAGAGACGCGTTAGATTGGAAGCTTACCTTAAGCTGACAGAAAGAAACATAAACATGTGTTTCTCTGGGACCCTGGCTTTGCTTAGGTGCCTCCAAGGATGCAGACTCTGCTGTGTCTGTGGAAGCCAGTCAGGAGCTGTTCCAGCACCTCGAGGCTCACAGCATGTCCCCCTCCGATGTGCGCCTTGTGCATCACATGAAAACGCTGTTACTTGTGCGAGACACCGAGAGCCTGCAGCACGCCCTGGAGAGGCTCCCAGCATGTTGCACCATGCCGCCCGGTACGTACTGGGCCACTGGGGTTTGCCTCCGAGGTCAGGGGGCAGCACATCAGGGACGCGCGTGTGCTTGTGGACACGGGAATGTGCTTGCTGTAAGCAGGACTCACATGACGGGCGTGGAAGGACCTGTGCCGCCCAATCTTCCAGACGCTGAGCTGTCTGGGCCAGATGTCATCAGTTTAAATGTTACCCCTTCTGCTCTTCCTTCTCTGCTCTACTGGTAGGAGGTTGACTTTTTCTGCCTGCTAAATATCTTGGGGAGACGTGAATTACAAGATGACTTTTCTCTTGTGTACCAACCTTTCTTGGGTGCCGATTCCACACAAACTGTCAGGTGCTGGGGCCAACCATGCTCCAGTCCTCCCAGCACCGGGGTGCTGACTTCATGTCAGTAGCTTGAAATGGGCTTTGGGGGGAATATCAGGCCACGGGAGTGTGCAGACACCAAGTATCAGAAAATCAGGGCTTTTCCTAGAGAACCACTGCAGAGCCCCATGCCTGACCCACACCAGGCCCGTGGCACCTTTTCCAGCTGAATGAATGGAGGGGTTCTGCAGACTTCTCCGAGGGAATGTCAAGGTGACCGTAATAACTGCGTCCACCCAGAAACCGCATGGTGCAGCTGAAAAGTCAAGACTAACATGGTATCAAATCAGGTGAAAGGACAGTAAGGCCATCCCAATGTGGTGCTGGGGTGATGAGCAGGGGAGTGACAGGGACCGTCAACACTTCATTCTCCAGTTGGGGAGGTCAGTCACCGAGCTGAAGTCCCAGAGGTCCCAGAGGTCCTGAATTAGCGTGTTTGTTGAGCTTCACTGGGCGTCTGCCTGAGCCGCCTTCTGTCCTCAGCTGCTGGATTCTCGGAGAACAGGGCAGACAAAGCCCTGCCCTTGGGTGCTCGTGTGCCGGTGGGGTGACTGGAGATCTAGCTGACCCCCGCCATGTGCACGCTGGACAGGAGCCTTGTGTCCCAGTGGGGAGATGGGTGACAGGATTGAGAGCTGGCTCCCGCTGTGTGCACGCTAGATCGGAGTCTGCGGAGAAGGAAAACCCACAGGGAGGGGGTATTCTTGCAGCCAGGAGCAAATGCACTGGGATGGAGTGTGGTGGGTGTCACATGGTGGGAGCGGATCGTGGGCACGCACAGGTGGATGGAGGGCGACCTGGCGGTGGTGTCGGCCCAAGTGTGGAGTCGTGCCATGGCTATGGGCTTCTGCTCCCAGACACAAGCAAGACCCCCGGCTGTCAAGTTCAGACCAGAGTGAAGGGTCAGGAGCAGAAGGCCGGGGCCTTTGCTTATGGTGAGAGAGGTGGTCCGGAGGCTGTGCAGGTGGAAGCCACAGGAAGGCCAGCTGAGCAGGCATGGGGCCTGAGCCTCTGGAAGAGCCCAGCAGCCGGTTCTGAGCTGTGATGCTCGGAGGGGCAGGCCAGGGAGAGGGACCCCAGTCCCCCAGGGTGGGACTGAGGATGGGGAAGGTCACCAGGGGCCACCTTCGCAGAGCAGAGAGGGTGGAGGATAGCAGAGACCCGTCCAGGGGCCACTGCAGGAGGAGGCGTGGGGGAGCCTGGAGGCGAGCATGCAGGAAGGCACAGCGCAGGAGAAGCTGAGGCACCCCGAGCCCTTCTCAGGAGGAGCTCAGCTCAGCGGGCTCGGGCGGCCAGGACTTCCTGAGAAGCTTGCTGGTGGTCGTGCTAGATGGAGCAGACTTAAATTTCCATAAAGTTTCAGCTCAAATTGCAGAAAGCCAGTTTTATTAAATTAAACAAATATAAAGTTTTTATAAGGTAAAAATAAGTCATTTAAAATTTTCAAGATTTGTGCTGTGTTCCTCACACTGAGGTCTTTCTTCTGCGTTGCTCTAAAATGTGTCGGCAGAGCCCTCAGCAGCAGTTGGGGATTTAGCAGGAATGTTTCTCTCAGCTTCTTACGTTCAGGTCACTGGGCAAGTTTTGTCTACAAGCACACTTACTTTCAGCACTTGGTAGAACTAAAACTTACATATGAAGCACTTTTCTTAAAAATGGGTTCCCTTTTAGTGCATGTAGGATATGCATTCAGAGTTGTTCTATTTAAAGCTGTTTTGTAGACAAAAAGCATGTTACCAGCAGTGAAGCCCTGTCCTCAGACGGTGTGTCTGACGCACGCTTGTCCTGGGTGCGGCGCAGGCGCGGGCGTCGCGGCCAGGACCACAGCACTTGGGAACCGCAGAGGGCCCCTCCCCGCCGCTCAGTCATTACCATTCCTGACGCTCGGCCCTTTCCTGGCCGCACCTTAGTGGGTCTCTTCACGGGTGCGTGTTTACGGAGCTAGGACCAAGCTGGTGCCCAGGAAAGGGGCTCACCTCGCTGACCGCTTACGGTTCCCGAACACAGGTGCTGACGGTACCGGCAGTTACGCTGCTGTCTACTGCATGTTGTCACGCGACCCTCTTTGACGCCTGCTGAGGGAGCGCGGGGCCAGGCCGCCGGCCGGGGCAGCAGGGCGCATCCGGACCAGCCTTAGCCCTGGGCCTCTGTTCCGAGCGGGCAGTGGGGTGGGCCTCCCAGCGGAGCCGGCTGCATCTGACCCGGCTGCAGAGCGTGCTGGCCCAGCCGGCAGCTCCCGAGGGCAGCCGGGTCTCCGACTCGGCCCCGAGGCCGCTGTGACGGGTGTCCGAGCGGTTAGGAGGCCCAGCGACTGGGGAGAGGCATCTGCACTGGAAGCTGCACAGGCCCCGGAGGCGGACGAGGGGTGGGTGGAGCCAAGGCCGGCTGCAGGCACCACGGTGCACTAGGGCTTCTCCTACATGTGCCTGCCCGGGGCCCCGGCGCCCCCGCGGAGGGAGGGGTTCCGCCGCGGACCCCGAGCGCTCTGTCCCCAGCGCGCACACCTGTGCCTGCACTGGGTTTCAGTGTGCCCTTCCCCTGAGCGCCGGTGGTCGCGCGATTCCATCACGGGTATTCTGAAGCTCTGACAGAGCCTGCAGACCGCGGGCTCTCACCCGAGGGAAGTACCGACACCCAGAATTTACCCATGTGCTGCAGGCTGTAACTGCCGCGGGCCGCGACCACTCTCGCTCCTGCACCAGAGATGTGAGCCAACGGCTAATGGCTGTAAAAACATCTATAGTTTTTGTCTGCGGGCTTTCCTGTTCAATTTTATTTTTTGTTTTATGTTGTGTGTTTGTTTTCCAGACCACGCCAGAGTGCTCTCAGCTTTCTTTAACTACTGGATCACACACATCCTTCCGGAGAAACACAGTGAATAAATAGGCGCATCTGAGAAGAGCCAACATTTAGCAAGAAAATATAAAAAGGCAAACATGCGATCGGCAGAGACGTGATTTGTACAAAGAAGATAGAATTGCCTAAAGTTTCTTTGTAACCTGAATCCCAGGAACTTTGAAAATATCTCTGCCGTGTTATTTATTTGTGTGTTGTACACAATGAGCAACATGCAGTCTGCAACTTTGAGAAACTGGGATAAAATGGAACATTTTCAATTATCGGAAATTGCTTATGTCTCAGATTACTACACCGTGATCCTGTTTTTCTGATTCTTGTAAAAATTGAAAATGGACATTCTGTTAAATTTAATAAACTGTATAGTTTGAAGTTGTTATATATTTTTGTAAAGTAATATAACCTTGTATTTGAAAGTCTCTGTTTTAAGAACACTTTATGGACATTAAATGTTCTGGTTTAGGTCATTTGATTCTAGTTGAATTTATTATTTTCTTCCTTGTTTCCTCTTCTCTGCTTTGAGAATATCAAGAACATCATTTTCCTGGTTTGATATTCTCTTTCTTCATGGTGATAGTCACCTGTTCTCAGGATTACTGGGTTTTAGAAACACCTGTCAGCTGACTCACACTTTAGGAGGTCATTGACTCTGTCCATGAAAATATATTTTTTTATTGTGGTAAAATATGCATAACATAAAATTCATCATTTTAGCCATTTTTAAGTGTACGATTCAGTGGCATTAAGTTATTCGCAGCGTCGGGCACCCATACCACTCTTCAGGCTAAACAGCATTCCGCTATATGGATAAGCCACGTTTTGTTTGCCCGCCATCTGTTGATGAACATCTGGGCTATTGTGAATAGTGCTGCCCTGGACACCGTGCACGGAATCCTGCGTGGACACCTGTGTTCCTGCCTCTTGGGGGGTAGGATTGCCAGGTCCGACAGTAACTCTGAGTGTGACTTCTCGAGGAAATGCTGGTCTGCTGTCCATGGGGGCCGCACCACCCTGCATCCCACCAGCCCTGCACAGAGGAGCCACGGCCCCCACATCCACCCTGAAGCTGTTATCTTCTGTGGTAGGCATCCTGATGGCGGCAAATGTCTCGTGTGCTTTCAGTTTACATTTCCCTGGTGTTGAATGCTTTTGAGCATCTTTTCACCTGCTCGTGGGCCATTCTCTTTTTCAGGGAAATGCCTGTTGAAGTCATTGTCCATTAGGGAATTGGATTATCTGGTTTTGTCATTGGATTATAAGAGTTCTTTATATATTCTGGATATTAATCCCTTATCAGAGAAGTGATTTTACAGTGTTTTCTCCCATTTTGTGGCCTGCCTGCCTTGTCTCTATCTCACTACTGTTCTTTGATGCACAAATGGTTTACATTTTGATGGAGTCCAACTTATTTATGTTTTCCTTTGTTGCTGATGCATTTGGTGTCATATCCAGGAAATAATTGCCAAACCAGTATCATAAGATTTTTCCCTAATGTTTTCTCCCGAGAATTTCATAGTTCTTTATAACTCTTACATTTAGGTCTTTGATCCACTTTGAGTTAATTTTTATATACGGTATAAGGTAAGATTCTAATTTCATTGTCTGTGTGTGGATATTCAGTTATCCCAGGATCGTATGTTGAAAAGACTGTCCTTTCCCCATTGACTGATCTTGGCACCCTTGTTGAGAATCATCTGACCGCATATGTGAGGATTTATTTCGGGGCTCTCTGTTCTATTCCATTCGTCTGTATGTCTGTCCTTATGCCAGGCCCACACTATTTTCATTACTGTAGCTTCATAGAAGGTATGAGATCAGGAAGTGTAAATCCTCCAGCTTTGTTCTTTTTCAAGATTGTTTTGGCTATTTGGGGCCCCTTGAGATTCCATGTGAATTTTAGGCTAGAGTTTTCTATCTCTGGAAAAAACACCTTTGATAATCATAGGGATTGCATTGAACCTGGAGATCACTTTGGGTGGTGTGGTCATCTCAACACTATTATTAAGTCTTCCACTCCATGAACATGGGATGTCTTTCCATGTATTTATGACTCTTCCTAAATTCCCTTTACCAGTGTTTTGTAGAATTCAGTGTACTAGCCTTTCTCTCCATCATTAAGCTTAGTCCTAAGTATTTTATTCTTTCTGATGTGATTGTAAATGAAATTGTTTTCTTAATTGCCTTTTCAGATTGTTCATCATTAGTATAGAAATGCAACTGATTGGGGTGCCTGGGTGGCTCAGTTGGTGAAGCATCTGCCTTTGGCTCAGGTCATAATCCTGTGATCTAGCATCCAGCCCCGCATCGGGCTCCCTGCTCAGCGGGGAGTCTGCTTCTCCCTCTGCCTCTGCTGCTCCCCCTGCTCTCTCTCTCTTTCTCTCTGTCAGATAAATAAATCTTTAAAAAAGAAAAAAGAAATGCAACTGATTTTTGTATATTGGTTTTGTATCATGCAGTGTTGCTGAATAACAGTGGTGTATGTGTGTATTCTTTATCCCTCCATGTCCTTAAGAGATGCCTGTTCCACTAAGTAGAACCTTCTGGAGGCAGATTGAGACAGCCAGGATTTGCTACCCGTTCTGGAGAGCCATCAGTTTGCAGCTAGGTGCTGTGAAGCACCCCAAGCTTCATAAAAGTAAGTGGAGCCACTGGCCAGACCTGGACACTACCATAGACCCGCCACACCCCAGGGCTGTGACCAAGAGCATGAATGCTCTTGGCCGGAGTGGGCGCATGTCCTAAAGGAGCCATTTTGGGGAGGCCACACCTTGAGGTGGGAGAGGTGGGGCAGCATCACTATTCACTCTCCTGACATCATCTGGCTCCTCCCCTTCCCCCCCCCCAGGGAGAAATGTCACTGCACGAGGGTCCTACCCATCCACTGCCTCCCTCTTTCCCCTAATATAAGTCAGCATTGAATGTGGGTGAGGTGTGAGTCCCGGGAGTCATGTCCCTGCCCGCAGGGACGAGGGACCGCTCAGCAGCGGGATGTCAGCTATTGCTTGCCTTCAGGGACTGCCTGGCTGGCCTCAGGAAACCTGACTTTTCACAGACCCAGATCGTGACCCTCCCCGCAGTGCCTGTGAACTAATAAGCTGTGTCTGCCAATACAAAAATACTGACAAACTCATTAATTTTCCTGTTAATTCTCAGCGTCCAATTTGTGTCTCTTAATTATGATCAATTTACATTTTTTCTGTGCACAGCAAGTTAACACACTGTTGACAGAGAGGAAAACCCTGCAGTTGGCAGACAGACGGCCCTTCATTTGGTCTCTTTCCTCTCAGCACAGAATCCGGCCAACTCCCCTCCTCCACCCTCCCCATCTAGTGGGGTTTTGCCTTCTCTGTCTGTTTCCCCAGCCACACCCCAAAATACACAGGAACAGGATGTAATCCCACAGGCCAATGGGTTTTGTGTATCATTCTAATTCAGAGAAGAAAAAAATGCCTCTTCTAGAGAACAAAAGCAAATAAATCCTGTCTCTAATGTGTCGGCATAAATATGGTAATCTGTTTATCACCATGGCGTTGAAGTTGGGTAATAATTAGATCAATTTATCGTTTCTAAAAGTGCAGAATATTCATGAGGTGCATGTGACTTGTTCTCTGTGAACCAGTCACAACAAAGAGAGGGAAGCTCTTGGGCAATGAGTGGGTACGCATTAGCTGATATTGAGACCGCGGTGTTCCAGAGGAGAGCCTCTCCACACCATCCCACAGCCCTGAGACCCCAGAGGCCCCAGACGAGGCCACGGCATGTGCGCCAAGCTTTACCTGCCCCCACAACCCCAGGGCTGCAGTGTTTTCAGAGAAAAGCTGCCCTGAGTTCACCTGCACCAGCACTTGGCCGATTCTGGATTTTTCTTCTGTGTCCAGCACATGCTTGAGCCTCAGCGTTTTCTCCGGGGACCTTGTCTTCTCATTTGGGGCACATATTCTTCAGAGAATCTAATGAAAGCATCAGACCCTCTCCAAAATAAGGAGCAGATGCACGTGTCCACCCCACCCCAGACACACAAATATCGTGCACAACTTTTTTTTTTTTTTAAGATTTTATTTATTTATTTGACAGAGAGAGACCCAGTGAGAGCAGGAACACAAGCAGGGGGAGTGGGGGAGGGAGAAGCAGGCTTCCCGCCGAGCAGGGAGCCCGATGCGGGGCTCGATCCCAGGACCCTGGGATCGTGACCTGAGCCGAAGGCAGGTGCCCAATGACAGCCATCCAGGAGCCCCTCATGCACAACTTTAAAGAGGTTGCATGTTCCCCCAAACCCATTCACCAGTGTGTTAATATTCTCCTTCTGCACAACAAATGGACACAAACCAGTGGCCTAAAACAGCACCCATGTATTCCCTCCCACTGTCTGCAGGTCAGGGCGCAGGCATGGCTACCTGGCTTGTGTGCTCAGGGTCTCACCGGGCTGTTGGTGGAGCTCTGTTCCTATGGTTTAGGACTGAGGTCCTGGTGTTCTTGCTGGCTGTTGGCCAGGACATCTCTCAGCTCCTTGAGGACCCCCATGTCCCAGCCACGGACCCCTCTGAGCCCCTCCTAACCTGGCAGGGACCCCTTCAAGGCCAGCAGAAGAATCTAGGAAGAGCTGAGCCTTCTCAAGGGCTTCCCCTGATGCATTGGACCCACCAAAATGCTCTTCCTTTTGAATAATTTAAAACTGATGCATGGGGAGCTTCAGGATCCTGCAGTAAACTCAGACAAGCCTTTATTGTGCTCACACTACTCACAGGGCACCCGGCCACTGCAGTGTCCGCCACACAAGGGATGTCTGGTGCATGTGCACACACGGGTCATAGCACACGCAGGTGTCTGGAATATGTGCACGCACGAGTCAGCACACGCAGGGGTCCCGTGTTTACACGCATGTGTCAGCACAAGCAGGTATCTGAGATTGTTGTAAGTATCCTATGATTAACTCAAGGGAGTGCCCCGGTCGTGAGACCTGGTACAGACAGGAGGTGGGGACTAACCTAGTGACCCCCACCCCCTGCAGATTATGTCTTTTTTGGGGGGAAAGCACAATAGCCTTCAGCAATTCCTTCAGCCCAGATTTAAAGTCCCCCCAAATGAGCCCCTGTTTCTCACCTCTTGATTTTATCTTCCTTTTAGCTATTTAAATATCAATTTCCAGAAAATAATATTAAGATAGACTCCAAATATTAGACCCTCTCCTTTTTTCTCCCTTCAGCAGATGTTTCAAGAAATACATTCCTAGAGAACAAACACACTGTGCAGCAGCCTCCTCCCTCAGCCTGCAGTGGGCGCATGGTTGGCCACGGACACTCTCGCCGGGTCACCCAGCCCCTTCCGTTTTGCAAGAGAAGCTGGTGGCCAGAGGCTGGGGTGTGCTCAGGTAGGAAGTGGGTCATGAGATGCAGGTGTGGGTACAAAGTGGGGGGAACGCGCTGTCGGCATCCAGGTAGAGAGAAATCACCTTCTGGGAGGATCTCGGGAGAGAGGTGATGTCTGAGCCACTCCCGGAAAGATAGGTGGGAGGGAGACGTCTGGGAATCCGGGAAGAGGACTGGGCCTGGTCGTGGGTCCCATGGCTGTTTTCCATCGGCACCAACAAGGCTGTGCTGGGACTCACCAGAGCTGACAGACCTTTCCTGGAAATCACCGCAACAATATCTCCCTGTCAAATTTAATCACCACCACCCTTGCGGGAAACATGCCCGTCTGAAAGTAATAAACGGTGTCCTAAGAGATTGGAACATTCCAGAACGAGCGTGGACAGTAGCTGACAGCAGCCAGCTGCCCGAGGCCGTGGCAGGGAACAGACTCCAGGTGACATGCGGCAGCTCTGCGGGGGCACGTGTGGTGTTACCGCCATGGTCTGGCCCAGGGGCCTTTCCAGGAGGGACGGGGTGCCCACTGTCTCGCCACGCACAGGACACTTGCACGTGGCAGTTTCCCAGGTGCCTCTTGACCTTCAGACATCCTGGCGAGCACGGGACAAGCCCGCGCAGAGCCAGCTCCGTTTGACGGTGAACAAAAGGCAATTTTCTCGCATCTGTCGGAGTGAGGTTTGCCGTGTCCGCGGGGGACACTGGGAGGACTGTTCGTCCTACTCGGGCAGGAAGCTCGTCACCAGCGGCAGTGGCACCCCAGGTGAGGGAGACCAGACGCGGGCAGGGGGTGTGCGCGGCCCCTAAGGACAGACGCCCCGACGTCGGGTCGCATGAACCATGTGGGGGTGAAATGCACATTCATCGGGGCCGCTTCGGGATCCGGCACCTTGTGGACAGTGAGGAGGGGTGTGTGCTGCTGTTTAAAAGAAAGCCCATGTTGAGGCAAACTGTGAATGGGGACAGTCAGAGCCACGCGGGGGGCGGAGCCACGGGGACCAAGTCTGGAGGAGGCCCACAGGCAAGGAACCTGGGTCGCTGGGCCACACCTGGGGCAGCCAGCCCACTGAGGCCTGGAAAGGAAAGGTCCAGAAACAGCCCATTCCTGGGTCCTCCATCAGCGGTCCTGAAGGTCGCTTTACAGGATAAATACCCCACATCAGCTCTTGCGGCACAAGAGGTAATTTTCATGGCCTTGTTATTTGGCTGAAGTACGCTTGGCAAACTGACAAAAGACAAATGGGAATTTCCCGCAGGCTCTATTCATAAATAAAACGGGGCCTGAATTGTTGTTATTCTACTGAAGTTGATTCGGTGTGCAGACGTGAGGGCGCGGCGTGTGTGCAGGCCGCCGGAGCTGGCCCAGCCTGCGGGCGCCCTCCCCTGTGCTCACAGAATGCAGTAGGCAGCCTCGCACTCGGGGATAATGGGCTTCCTGGGAAGCCAGGCCCCTCGGCACAGAGAGCGGTAGCTCCCACCACCGGGCATTCAGAGCCAGCAGCCCTTGCAATGCTATACACGTTGGAGGCCTTTTCCCACCTTCCCGTCTCTCCCTGAACCTTCTGCTTGGGAGCCACCACCAAGGCCCTCAGGCTGAGTGACCGCCCTGTAAGGGGGCTTCTTTAAAGACAGAAGCTCCCAACTCACGATGATGAGGAGAAGGGAGAGGAAGCAAGAGCATCACACCTTTGGAAGCCAAAGAGCTTAGCAGATCTGGAAAATCAAATCCTCACCTATTAGCACAAAAGAGAGTGAGTGAAAGAAAGGCCCTGTGCAGATCAAGAGTGATCATGAGG